GGGATTTATTGTTTTCAAATCTTTACAAGGTCATATTGGCGTTCTAGTTTCATGGAGACTTATGTAATCAGAATAAGTAAATAAATAAAGCCTTTTGATAACACTAAGCATGAATACTTTGAAATATCATACAGTAATTTGCTGTTTATTACTCAAACAAACTCATTCGAAAGATTTTAGTCATGTAAATTGATCGATATTAGCAGACAAATCTACGTGTTAAATATAATATATGTGTGCCATATGATTTATGCAAACATGTTTCAAGACAACGCAGTAAAGAGAAAAGTTTACTTTAATGATGAAATTACAAATCATCTATTCGATAAGATAGATGAGATAAATGAAAGTTTCAATTTTATGAACAACAAACAAAACCTACTCTTTTTCATGATAGAGTTAGTTATAGAGATTGTTGTTTAGTATTGAAGTGATGAACTGATTATTGTTAGACCATCGTCCTAGTGTGTGGTCTACATACATCTAACAATTCCCGCAGTTTGCAGGACTTGAACGCAGGACTTCCTCTCTTGTCCGAGACTATTGTTGGATTCCGGTCCAGTGGTCTAGAAGTTGGGAATCCGCGCGCATGATCCCCACGAGTGGCGAGAAACATGAATGTGCACTACTGACGAGTCCCAAACCAGGACGAAACAGCGATCCAGTGCTTCAAGGTTTTTAATGGTGGTCTAACCATGATTGATTCATAATTTCAATAATAGAACCTACTCCTTCACACTAATTGAATGATTACTTCAAATAAGTGTCGTATTTGTTACAATACTGCATCTAAAATCAGAGAGGATTCACCTTGTAATTGGTTTTGTATAATGTATTGTGGTGTGTGCTACTTATATGAACGATATAAGTAGTATAAGAGGGGAAGTGAAAGAAGAAGTCGCACGGTCAGAAGAGGAAAACGGAAAGTAAATGGAACAAAAGCAAGAAGTAAATGGAGTAGTACCAACAGGAAGGAAAGGAAGCAACAACAGGAATGGAAGAATGATGGAGTGTTGGAAGTCACAACTCAAAGATGGTGTGCAAATAGAGTGTTCAATGTAATGTTTTCGTTTTCAATTGACTCAGAGTGTAAATTTGCATAATGCAATCTTTCTCGCCTGCCTCAGTCTTCTAAATTGGTGTCGTTGCCTCTACTCAGGATGAAGATCCCATGGCCTCGGGAGTATGAAGACGGAGATGTAGGGAGCTTCTTGAAGGAGTTCGAAGCCGTGGCGGAGCTGGGAAGAATCAAGCAGCAGAGGGCGGACTCTACGAAGAGGCAGGGCGAGAGCGGTGTACGATGGTGTGGAGGACGCTGACTGCGAGGTGGTGACGGAAAGGCTGCTAGTGGAGTTCGACAGCCCGGCGGATAGTCAGGACGCACTGCGGAAGTTTCGAGAGGCGAGACTGACGGTGGATGGCGACCCACTCGTGCTGGCGTCAGGAGCAGGGTAGTAGATTCCCCAACAGTATCACGTATACATGAATGACTTTAAACGTTATCAGAATTTCACTTTCAAAAAAGCACGCAATATACAAACCAATATAGTCTTCTATAGATAAATATTATTAATGAATCAGATGTTAATTTAAGCTACAAACAACAGAAAATCTGGGCCTTTTAACAGATTTCAGAAAACTGTGTAAACAGTAACATCAATTTATTTTGCGCATTGAAACCATCAATCTGCCAACGTTAGACCACCATTAGAAACCTGGAAGTAGTGGATGGCCGTTTCGTTCTGGTAGGGTACTCATCAGCATGGCGCATTCACGACTCATGCACCTGGCGGGATTTGAACTCAGGACCTTCAGTCTCCATTGGTTAATAACAGGCGTAAGTAAGTAAGTAAGTAAGTAAGTGCGTAAGTAAGTAAGTAAGTAAGCAAGTGCGTAAGTGCGTAAGTAAGTAAGTAAGTAAGTATAATTCAGTGAAAATCCAAAGTGATCAGTGTTAACTATTCCGCCATCCCTACGCTAAAATGATCTGTTTATATAAGTGAGTATTTACTACTATTCAATAATGTCAATATAACCACAACAATAATAATAAAAAAAAAACAACCATTCAATTATGATTGTTTTAATCGGTCAATTATTGACATTTCATTACATTCCATAGCTTAATTACATAACATTGTTTATTGTAAAATATATATAGAGAAAAAAATAATAAAACGGAAGTTCAAATCGTATTTAATTTTTTTTTGTTTTGTTTTAACTACTGTCATAAATAAATTCCATTTTTAATGATACAGATTAAATAAATTTTGTTAAATAATGTATTTTTTTAAATGTATTGAAAACATTGAACAGTTAGCCATAGAAAACAAAAAATTAAGTTTGTTTTTTTCTGTAGATTCTTAGATGAGATATATAATTTTTTATTAGAATGAGTTTTTGTGAGTGTTGTGTTTGTCAGTAAGTATGCTTGAGGTTGTTACGATGAGTTCACCTTAGTCGATAAACGTGAACGAGACAATGAACCAGCGTCCAGGTAGGCTACCTTCAATCCCAAGTTGAAGACAGAAAGACTTTGTAAGCGTAGAAAGTATATTCTATCTACAAACACCCAGCAATCACACAATACAATCAAGCACACAACTCTCGTTTATTTATACATCATAGAAACGATGTCCTTGGGACAGTTACGAAAATAGCACACTAAAATACGTGGGAGCCAATCACAGCCATGGATTTTCCTGGTGGGAAATGAAATCTCAATGTCAACTGATCAGCCCATGCTGGCAAACGTAAAATCCAAAATTAAGGCATTTATCAAGCGAGTTTTAGGAGATCTAACATCTCCAACAGTGAGATACGCTTCTCTAGTTCAATGTGGTTAGGTCTTATTTCTCAGCAAATGTTTATGATAGCATGTTAATATGACTTATTAGTTAAATAAATCTTTCCTGTTTTTTGATAAATGACTTTGATTTTTATAAGTGCATGGACTGAATCAAGTAAAAGTAACTTATAATTAAACATGGAAATCATGAATGAATCATTGTTAAACCACTATTTGAAAAAAATGGAAGCACTAGACTGTCATTTTGACGTAGTATGGGACTCATCAGCAATGCGGAACCATGATTCGAGCCCAGGACGTTCGGTTTTGTCAGGAAATACCGTTGAATGCCTGTTCAGGGGTCTGGAGATTAGGCGTTCGTAGGCACGACAAAATGTCATGAGTTCAAGTCCTGCAGGTAGCAGGTGCCATGCATTCACACTGTTAATGAGTCCCACGTCAGGACGAAACACCCATCCAGTGCTTTTAGGTTTCTAATATTGGACTCAGAATAATTCATTCATGATTTTAATGTGTTAAAACAACAATCACCATAATACTACTGTGGTGTGAGCTACTTATAAGTAGTATATGACGTGAGTGTCAACGTAATGTCTGGCAGCAGAAGATGGGGGAAGATCAAGAAAGGAAGAGTTAGAAGAACACAATGGAATTTGTACGAAACGCATGAATAGTGACAATGGATTGATGTTTTGCATCAAGAACAGTCCAGTTCGATATGATGAACTGATATTTCGCAAATGAACGATTTACGATTTTACCGAGTAACTCTGTAATCCGGTTGCCCCACCTGTGTTCTCGTTCACTACACTACAATGCATAATTTATTATTGTTATTTAGGGATTATTAGTGTGGATGATTGAACAGTTAACTAGTTAGAACTAACAACTTTTATTTTATTTTCAGCTTTTATATCTAGTGTTTTGTAGTTTTCTTCGCAAATCTACAAAAAAGATACAAGGGATTGAACATGCCACTATTGTTTGTATCAAAATCTTAATAAATAACACCCAACTGACCAATTAGGTTTCAGTTAGATTTTATCATTTGTCCTGATCATTAACCAATCAAAACAATTTGTATGTACCATTCGTTCCTATTATTGTCTGGTTTGTGTGAGCTCACATGGCTTGTCCTACTTGTCTTTTGACCTTGTCAACCATTCGTCGCTTTTATTCATGTGTGTACATGGCTGTCTCGGTGGTCACATGTCTGTCTATAAATTCTTAGTCATGCTTTATCTTTTGGAGTTGGCTCACTAGCCTTCTCCACATCGCTTCAACCGTTCATTCGCTTGCTAGAATGCCTGTCCGGTCTGCTTGTAGTTTGCTGATCTATTTATGGTGTGCCACAGATAAATGTATTCAACACTTCGAGTTCATCTTCTGATTTATAAACCGTCAGTCACCATTTAGTAACGATTGTTTGGATGAGCTAATTACGAAGATTGAGAACATGTCGAAACCGGTCACCACATATCTACCGGTGATCGCTATGATAATTTGTTTTAAACATGTATGCATCATAGTATGTATCTATCTACTATCTGTTAAAACTTTCATTGCTTCGAAAAGCTGAGTCACTCATTGATTGAAAGGGTATTAACAAAGTGCAACTGTTTGTCACATTTTCAAAATTTGCTAGTCTGTTGTTCAATATTAGCGCATCACACAAACGTGATCTGTTGAAAGGTTTATATATATGTACTAAAATGGAGTCATTATTTGTTGGGGATGTTAGATCCCCAAAACTCGCTTGTTAAAGGCCTTATTATGGATTTCACGTTTCCCAGCATTGGCTGATCAGTTGACCCTGAGATTTCATTTTCCACCGAGAAAATCCATGACTGTGATTGGCTGCTGTGTATTTTAGTATGGTATTTTCTTAATTTTCCCAAGGACGTCGTTTCTATGATGTATAAATAAACAAGAGTTGTGTGCTTGATTGTGTATTGTGATTGCTGGGTGTTTGTAGAATATACTTTCTACTCTTAAAAAGCCTTCTATTTTCAGCTTGGGACTCAATGTAGCCTATCTGGACCTTGATTTATTGTCTCGTTCGCGTAAATCGACTAAGGTGAACTCGTCGTAATAGCTTCAAGCGTACCCTAGTGACAAACCATACAATATTTCATCCGAATTTTAATTTTACCGCTTCAATTTATCAAAGACAATAATTAAAACAAGGCAATTTATAAAAAAATAACTATTTATTACAATAAGTAAATTAATGATTGGAATGGTTGAACTTTTTCATTCCATTAAATGATCTAATCTTTGTCTAATTTTTCAGGTAGTGCAGCAATAATTTTTTCAAACCATCCTCGCATTTTCTCAGCACGTTGAGCACCCATAGCTAAAACTTCTTCATGATTTGGAAACACTTTACTATCGACATCTAGTACACTTATATTTGTGACTAATGAAACAGCGAACACTCTAATTCCACAATGTCTTGCGATGATTACTTCTGGAATTGTACTCATACCTGTAAAATATGATAGTACAATATTTGAGTTAACCATTTGGAAATATTGGAACGGAAATGTTTTATTTGTGATCAACGCTTAGTGAAGGAAAACAGTTTCATAATTTAGGTAATAATTCAATAGAATGGCTAAATTTGGGATGAATATGATCCTATAGTTCTTTGCGAAAGCTACACTGTTGATCATTCCAGGACTACTGTCTGTCCTAAGCTTGGATAAAGGAGTAGAGTTGGTCATGAGGTTGGCGAATCCATCTTGTAGAGATCCAAGTGGCTGAAAAAAGTTCTAACCAAGAAAATAATTTGCTGGTTGGCGGCATATGCTTCACAAAGTGTAACAGGCGTAAGTGAGTATGCAGGATTTTTGTGAAATGTACATTTCGGCCTAACTGATTTTAAAACCGAAACTACTCTTTCATTCAAAGGTTTTGCCCCATATGCTAAGCATGCTATAAGATAACCACTAGAAGACACATGTACTTGTTACAACTAGAAGTAGCACAAACTGGCAAGTAGACAGCACTTGCAATTTGACCAATTTTCCTTTTAGTGCATTTTATTGAACAGTTCCATCCGTACCTGTACAATCCTGATAGATAAGTATTCAGTCTCACACTCACCTACAACAACAGAGTATGAACTGAGATTGATATCTCTGGGACTACTACACTTATCCATCATCAATAAATATTACACAATCACCAGTTGAATATTTTGTTTATTGCGAATTTAAAATGTTCTGAACGGGAAAGCTTACAATCACGTGACAGAACTAACACAGTTCTGCGACGTTTTCAAAACGGAGGCATCGGAAGTTAGACCACTTGAGAGCGCATCAGGGTGTAACATTGCTAGTATGAAACGCCACTCACCACCTATTTTTATACGGTTTGTGTTGTTTTCATATAGATGTATTCTATCCTAAATATGGTGACAGTTTAGATATCATTTGAAAATGCACAAATGGATATATATTTACTTACCTACAACATCACAGCCCATGTTAAGTAGCATAGTGCATTCAGCAGGTGTTTCGTAACAAGGACCACCATTCATCACGTAAACACCTTGATGAACTATATCCCCATCTCCATTTTCCATCGCGATTTGCACAGCTAATTTTCGTACTTCACTGTCATACGCATCTGACAGTGCTGGAAACCGAGTACCGAATCTACAGAAATCAATTTAAACACAAATGAATCATACTCATCATGATTTGGTCCAACCAAAATATTCTTTAATGCTAGTCCAGGAAGGTAGATATGGTCTTTCAAGATCACAAAGTCACCGAGTTTAAGGTTTCTGTTGAGACCACCAGCAGCATTACTAACCATGAGAAGTTTGACTCCCAGTTTCTTCATCACACGTATGGGAAGAGCAATCTGTTATGCAAAAATATTTGGTTATTTCAAAAGCATTACTGTGTCGTTGCTGTATCCTTCATACATATGAAAGCGTCCTTGCATCACAACTACATTTCGGCCACTAATAGTTCCAAACACCAAGTTTCCAGAATGTCCAGCAACTGAAATTTCAATCGAACGTATTCGACTACTTACCAGATGTTTGAGGGAAACCAGCTATCTCTTTGTATGGAATTACTTTTTTATTTTGTACCCCTTCAGCCAACGTTCCCAAACCACTTCCACAAATAATCCCGATTTCCGGAACAATATTTATTAATTTTCGGATTTCATCCGCCACATTTTTGACAGTGTGAGGATCAGCTGTGACTTTATCAGACCTAGGAATTTCAAATAAGCCGTGTCTACTATGAAAACTCACATTTTTGACGGCAACTTCTGAGTGATGCTGGAAAACAGAAGAATATTTACAATGAATCATTGAATTCATAGTTTGAAAAATGAAATGGTTCCTGGCGACTGAAAGCTAAGTATGAGTTGATTTTATTTACTAGTTCACGCGGTTTTGACATTTACATACCTTATTCAGGGATGATAAAATAATTGATTCCTTTCCAAACAAGGCATTTCTTTGTTGCTGTCGATATTATGGTCATTTCACTCACTACTTACTTCCTTTTTGTAAAGAAATGGTGACATTTTTAAACATTTTGGTCATTTTCAGCGACTAACATAAATTTTTATCTATTAGGTATCACTATTAATAACTGAATCAGTGTCATTTGGTACAATCAGAAGCGCAACTGATCTTACCGGTCTGGACACGAGTAGTTTTACCCAAAACCTTTCAATCTTAGATTTCACCGATGTGTTTACTTTGAGTTGTTGTAGCTAAATACAAACCAGCTTATTTCCTTGCCATACTAAGTTAATCATGAGCTTTATGCTTCGGAATTGCAGCGTGAAATTTACACTTATACTCTGAGTTCGTTAGTAATAAAAGTCTTATAAAGAATAACGATGCACATCAGCAAGCGAAATTTTGAATGGTGGGTAACAAATAAGTTTAACTCACTGGTTAATTTAACAGCACGAAAAGCAATTCGTATTTCAAAAAGTTATATACCGCAGTTTGACCTTCACCAATATACAATATCTTTTACACCAGCTAGTGTGAGTCAGTTCAAATACATCCAACATTTCCAGTATCTTTTTTATGGTCTAGTGTGAACCAATTAATTTCTTTGAGCTTGATTCTCGTGTTTTCGGTATGGTTACAGGTGTTTATATACTATACTCTATCTTTTTCACGAATTAGTATAAACAGAATAATTTTCCAGAGCTCGACTCTTGCTCACTCGGTACAGTGTTTGGTAGTGTCCGATGAATGAAGCTTAAGCCACCCGACTGTATAAATCTAGTCAGTAGGCAGTTGTTTCTGAGTTTGCATGTCCCGTGATTTGAATGGAAACGATTGTTTCATTTTAGTAGGTTTTCACGTTATCATCATCCATCACATTACCAAACCGGAGATCAGTTGGTCGCGATGTGTAGAATAATAAGGGAAAAATTTTAGTGCTAATATGAATAAGACTTCAGAACTGAGTAAATCAAGTTACTGACCTGTGGAGATGGTAATGATAACAACTTGTATGTCTCAAGGTATGCATCAGGCACAGCTTGTCAACGAGGAAGACGATAATCCTTATGTGAGTACGTGATGAAGCCCCTTTGGGACGGTTTTCGGCTTCAAGCATGGCTAAAACAGGAGGGTTAGGCGTGTATTAAAAGATGCCGTCCCGTAGAAGACTAACTAGCTAAGAAAATGCTAACAGAAAAAACCAGTTCAAACCATTAAAACTCTGTCGAGAGTGCTAGAAAATTAAAGCCGAGTTCCTTCGGAAGTCACAGGACCAGCGCCTCTTCTGAAGAAGTTTCTGGAGTTACTATTCTTTTAGGTACATTTAATGTTCGTGTAATGAGGGAGACCAAGAGAGTCATCGAAGTTGCTGTGTAAATGAATAGATACTGGTTCAAAGTGAGTATGAAGGCGAAAGTGCTCCATATACACAAAGGGTTGCATCCATGCTTTTCAAAAAAGCACAAATACACTGATAAGATGGGTATCTTATGGACCCAAGATCTGCAAAACATCTTTCAAAATTAAGAAAGATCAATTCACAGTGATTTTCATCCAATGCTGTGCGCTTGCTAGCGATAACGATGAAGACGTTAAAGATCAATTCTCCGTAAAGCATCAGTCAGCTGTTGAGAAAAGTCCATCAAAGGATTTGACCATTTTGATGGGAGAACTAAACCTCAAGGTTGCAATAGACAACACCGGATATGAAGATATCATGGGACAACATGAACTGTGATGGATTTTCAAACCTTTGTGTCTTCAATAAACTGGTCGTAAATGGTGCCATATTCCCTCACAATGCGTGCATAGTGTCACATGGATCTATTCAGGATCACAGTACCCAAACCTAAATCGACCATATCTACATCAGTTAAAAGTACAGACGTACGATAGAGAACGTATAAATCAAGAGTGGAGCTGATGAAACATCAGTCCATCACTTGCTGATCGCCAAGACAAAACTTAAACTCAAAAAGCACTGGATGACGGACAACATCACAAAAGTTTGAAACGGCTTTTCTTCGAGATACTGACAAACTCAGAGAATTAGAAATAGCACTCAGGAATAGGTTACACGCCTTTCACGATATATTCAATGCATGGGAAACTACTATGGAAGAAAATTGGAAAGTGATCGTAGGGGTAATTACTTCAACAAGTCAGGAGTTTGTGTGCTAAAAGAATCAGTATCACAGGAAGTGGATCACTGTTGGTATTCTGGGGATGTTAGATCCCCAGAACTCGCTTGATAAATACCTTATTTAGAATTTTACATTTGCGAGCATGGGCTGATCAGTCCACATTGAGATTTCATTTCCCACTAGGAAAATGCATGGCTGTGATTGGCTGCTGTGTATTTTATTGTGCTATTTTCGTTGGTTATGGAAGGACTAGTGGACGAACAAATGAGGGAGTACATGGATAAGAATAAAATACTCCATGAAGCTCAACACGGGTTTCGGAAAGGCAGGTCGTGTGCATCTAATCTTCTAATCTCATGGGACAGTTGGACGTCCTGCTTGGACCGTAAAATACCAGTGCACATAGTATTTCTCGACTTCGCAAAAGCCTTTGACACATTGCCCCACGCACTCCTAATCGAAAAGGTTGTGGAAATGGACTTCACCTACCTATCTTGACTCAGAAACTACCTTGAGAATAGGAAGTTTCGCACCAAGGTAAATAGGGTGCACGCGAGTTGGAGAGAATCCACTTCAGCAGTTTCACAGGGGACCATCTACAGATGAATTTTCTACCCTAGCAGTTCACTTTGATTCCAGTAGGTGTAGGTCGAACGCGCTATCCCCCCGGTCCAATATCAAAACACAATAATTCTAGGAGAAAGCGGTCTATTTTTATATTGAAATGGAAATACAAACAGTTACCTGACAATTAATACACCTTCCAAGTCCAAATTACTCTAATGAGTATCCGAATCCAAAAGAATAAGTGAGACTAGTATTAACTGCCACGATATCAAATCCAAATATGGCTGTAGCCATATTATATATCAAATTTAAACAACATGTGTACAGTTCAGAAGCAAACATAAAAACTTCAATATAAGTACAAAATATGGGAATAATAACAATATACAATGATAAAATCTCAAAATGGAATCAAATAAAATACCAAAATGTCAACAGAAAGAGTCAGTCATGCCATAACAAAAATATGTAAACATGGAGGGATTTTCCAAAAAAAAAACAATCAAAAAAGATTCTACAATATCCGAGGCAACAATAACTACGTCTCCTTTCTGAAAATCGCGATGCTCTTTTAGCCATTTTTGACGAGTTTGTAAGGAAGGCAAATACTCCTTTAACCACCTTTTCCAAAATACGTTGACTAAATAATTTACCTTCTTCCAACGTTTGTGGAACTTGTCACTAATACTTCCTTCCTCAACTATTCCGTCACATTCTCTCAATAACAGTAGGCTATTTGGTGATAAAGCTAGTCGGTCGTTAGCATCCTGGACTACCGGGGTTAGGGGTCGATCGTTTAGAATTCTCTCAATTCCAATTAGATATGTACCCAAGGTCTCGTCTGTTAACACCTGTTCCCTGGTGATCAATAATAGCAGCCTTCGTATAGATTTAATCATTCTTTCCCAAACTCCACCTCTATGGCTGGCTAGTGATGGGATGAAATGCAATTGAACTTGTCTTGATGATAATTCCTGACTGCGCCCACGAAGTTTGATACTTTGTCACTATACGCGTCTGCTGGACTACCTCTTCTTCCGATAAAACATATCAAAGCCATTATATATGAATCGGTATTCAGACTGTATGCCATCTCAATATGTACTGCTCGTGTCTGCAGAAAGGTAAACACACAACCATATCTTTTTTCTAGTGACCTACCCCTCTTGACTAGAAGAGGTCCAAAGTAGTCTACTCCTGTCGTCGAGAAACTATGCCAAACTTTTGGCACTCTGTAAACTGGAAGTGGCGCCATCTGTTGATTCCCTGGACACAGAGTAAACGTTCGGCAAGTTTCACACTTTCCTATTACTCTTTTAACCGTTCTGGTGCCCTTAACTATCCAATAGTACTTGCGGATCTCAGCTAACACATGCGAAGTTCCCATATGTCCTTCTTCCTTATGATAGTGTCTGATTATCGATTCGGTTACCCAATGTCGAATAGGCAAAATTACGGGATGTTTCGATGCACTCGGGAGTTCGGAGTACATCAGGCGGCCTCCGACGCATAGTAACCCATCAATTATTATCGGTGCTAAACCTCTCAGACGTTTATTACTCGCTTCTTTATGACTAACGTTGGATTCGTTAAATAATTCTCCGTATACCTCCCTTTGAACAATCATTAGAACCTTCCTTTTGGGTGACTCAAGCTCCTTGACCTTTAAGTAACCTGTCATAACATAGCCTTCAACTCTCGGCGAGCGAAGTACTATCCAAAGTTCTATGAACCTTCTGAGCCACGCTACAGCCCTAACCAATTTCATCCATTCCGAGTAATAAGACAAGATAGGTGACGGAGTATTTATCGTGCCACTCAAGTTGACCGCAGCTTTTCTGAACTCGACTTGGTCCATAGTAGGTGTAGAATCCTTTTTGAATGTTTTGTTTTTTGGAAAATCCCTCCATGTTTACATATTTTTGTTATGGCATGACTGACTCTTTCTCTTGACAGTTTGGTATTTTATTTGATTCCATTTTGAGATTTTATCATTGTATATTGTTATTATTTCTATATTTTGTACTTATATTGAAGTTTTTATGTTTGCTTCTGAACTGTATATATGTTGTTTAAATTTGATCTTTAATATGGCTACAGCCATATTTGGATTGATACGGTGGCGGTTGGACTTATTACCTTTGTCTTGGATACTCTTCAGAGTAATTGTGACCTGGAAAGTGCATCAACAATAGGTATTGCTTTGTATTTCCATCTTTTAATTAATATAGACCGTTTTCTCCTAGAATTATTGAGTTTTTTGGACCTTGGACTGGGAGATACGCGTACAAATTGCACTTACTTGAAACCATTGGAACTGCCACGGTAGAAAATCCATTTATAGTCTGGAATTGGCTCGACTTTTGATTAGAAGACCAATTACAGTCGGATTATTAAGAAGAATAAAGAAACATTTGGAAATTTAATCGTTTATAACACTAACCTTCTTGAAAGAAGAACCTTGGATTACTTATCGTATTTTTGTATTCGAACTGTATTTCGGAAGACGATTTTCTGATTTTGGATATTTCTTACCTGTGGAATTCCTATATATTTGTAGTTGTTATTTATCTTCCGTTGAACTTCACTTAAACATGAGCAGCAGGAAGAAAACAAACACGAGGAGGGAGGAAGAGCTTGAAGGACCCCGAAACGCTAGGCAAGTCGTTAATGATGCTTGTTTAATGGGTACCCACTTTATTAATAACGATGTTATGTCTGATACTTATTATTGTAAGTCACCTTTGGCAGGCATTAGGGAAGAAGGCTTATGTGAGAGTTCTAAGGTACCAGAGACGGATCAGATACTTAGGACACCG